TGCCCTGACTATATTAAAGGTGGAAAGTCAAGTCAGGAGTTTACCTGACAACTAGTTTTAAAGTGTGATCAAGTTTTTCCACATTTGAAAGTGCATAAAAATAAAGCAGGTTTCATTTAAAAACATCAACTTTTTAAGGTTTGAAGTTATTAAAGTTAACCATTAGTTTTGAAAAACCCTGTAGAAGGGCGATCAAAATTTGTCACGCAGTATCAAGTTAGTACTGTCGAGTCATAGGTACAGGGCTCAAAATAATAGGAGTCAAACGTCAAAAATTTTGAAATTTCTTGAATACCTAACTCGAAAACCTGGGTATAGGTAAACGACGTAGATTTTCATGTAAATTTCAAAAATGCAATTGTTCTATTTAAAATAAGAAAGTTGCTATCGACATCCGGTAGAACCGGAAGTGAAACGATCATGAGAATATTTTCTTTCGAAATGCATATTTTCAGATTTAAATTATTAATGAAAGCCGGAATACTTTTAGGTAACGGTTTACGTGAAACAGCCTGTATTGACCCAGATCCCAGGATTTTAAATAACATTTGCATAGGGCAATGGATATGGTTTAGCCGTGTTTTGTTTCACACACTAGAAGTGAACGAAATGTGGATGCGAACTGTAGTAGGTGTTAAAACATGACTCATACCTATCTACATGTTAGCTGAAACCCTGGGACCAGATACGTGTTAGGTGGTACCGACACTTCATGCTCCCTCTGGTGGAGACCATACGAGCAAGTTTAGAACAAAAAAAGCTGCAAATGGCTGTAACTCTAAGCTGTATTTGAATGTCTTCAACATGTGACAATCTCTTGCTTTTCCCCTAATTTTTGTTCACCTCATCAGCGGACTAAGAAGATGTGGCCTTCAACGTCCTTAGTTTTTGGCAATAATCCCGCATTTAGTAATTAATATTTCCATCTCAATTTGATATTATGAAATTTTGAAAGTATTATTTGGTTTTGACGTATCACCTTCACCGCTATCTCCAGACCATGACAACGTTATTTATATTATATATTATTAATAATAGGTTTTTAGTGTTATTTTAAAGAATTTACTATTTTTTTGATTAAGGGTTTGAGTTCTCAAAAAAAAAGGTATAGATAATTTTACGGTACACCTTTTTTGTTTGAATCCTTTTTCGATAACTCTTACCATTTTCTCTAAAATGCCCACGGAAACAGAATGGTACTGGAAAATGGCGGCCATTTTGATTGACGTCATACTGGGAATAGATACGTGTGGGGTAGGAATCAAAATGAAAGAAAAGAATAACAAAATAAATGAAATACAAAACAATATGGCGCCCAGGTTTGTTAAATTATAAAACGTCAGCGGTTCAGCATTAATTTATAATGCAAGCACATTTTCAAGTTCAACAAATGAGATCACGAATGTTGGCTGAGGAAAATGTTGAACATTTAAATGTAGAACCTCGTCTAATACCTCAACTAAAATATGCTCCAATTACTCGTGTCGATGCGGAAAGATGTTTCTCTGTGTATAACCACGCACAAATTTTAAGATGGACCACTTGGAACAATACTTGTAATTAACAAAGTTTCAATAATTTGTTTTGCTTTAATTTTTCAGGCATATCTTCATGCTTTTTTGCCATATATACAGAGTGAGTTTTTTTTTTCATTTTAAGCATTGGGATCTCAGAAACCGTAAGACATAGAGATTCGGTTAAATGAGGAAAGAGTTGTCGTTTTAAGAGCTTATTCAAGATATGTTTTTGTTATTTTTTTAAATCCGCAGTTTACTAGATACGAGCGAAAAACGGATTTAGTGATTTTTCTTTTAAATGTTGTAGAATCGATATTATTAGAAATACAACAAAATGACACGAATAAAAGTTTTAGTCAATTGAATGCTTAACATGATGAACATAGTAATTTCCTTCTCGATTTTACAGGTTTTGAGTAATAATACAACCTTTAATTTTTTTAAGTGGTAGTCAGAGTTGTCTTTGACATTTTTAAAAAGGACATATTTTTCACTTTATAACGATATAAGGCTTGCTAATTGTATTTTGTTAAATAAACGCGCTGCAGGAATTTTCATATTATTAATCAAACAAAATACTGCTACTCATTGTTTTAGTTGAAAGATGACAGTTCTGTAAATACAATTTAAACTTAATATGGTCGAATGTTTTATTGTTTGTAATAGAAATAGTGTTCGTGCTGTCGAACGGTACCGACAATTTTACCAAAATCGACGTCAACCATCTCTGCCGACGTTCAACAATGTATACCGAAATTTGCGTCAGTTTGGTTCCTTTTCGAAACCAAACAGGGCTGAACGCGTTATTAACGAGGAAATCCAAGTAAATGTATTGGCCTACATTGACCAGAATCCTTCTACTTCGACTCGGAAAATTGCAGCAAAGCACAATCGTGAGAATTTTGAAGAAACATAAATTTCACACATTAGTATCACTTATCAGTAGGACCGACACTGCATCCAGGAGAATTGTCTTTAGCAATTGGTACAATAATATGATTCAACAGGATCTAGAGTTTTAAAATCAAATTTTATGGACCGATAAAATCAGATTTACCAATTGCGGTATGTTCAATAGGCACAATGAACATTTGTGGATGCAGGAAAATCCTAGAAGACTTCGTGAAAGAAGGCCTCAAAGAAAATTTGGATTTAATGTTTGGCGCGGAATTATTGGCTCGCGAATTCTTGGACCTTTCATTTACGACGCAAATTTCGCACGCCATAGCGTTATCTCAATTTTTTACAGAATGAATTTCAAAATATGTTGGATGAATTAGATTTGGGAACACGGTGTAATTTACGCTGGTTTCAACACGACGGTGTTCCGCCGCACAACCAACTGCAAGTAGAAGAGCCCCTAAACCAACTATTTCCAAATTCTTGGATAGGTAGGAACGGGCCGGTCCTTTGGCCACCAAGATTGCCAGATCTTTCGATTTTAGATTTTTTTTCTTTTCGGTTTCCGAGATCTCAAAGCTTAAAATAAAAAAAAACTTACCCTGTATGTGCATTTTTGACGTGTTTTCATGCATATAAGTCCGGTCCCTAATAATAAGTAAAGGTAAGGGGGCAAGGGGACAACGTTAATTGTTTAAAAATTGTCCGTAATTTGCACCGAAATTTCGTGCGTAGCCTTAAATTTCGTCAATTTCTATAAAACATAGGCAATGCCATTTAACAAATGAATTCTGCTCTCTAAAATTTCCTCACAAGAATTTCTTCATTGATCAACCACACTAGCTCAGCATAATTAATTTCCTTCAATCTGTTTTCTGCCCGATCGAATTATACTCTGTGCAATTATACGTTTGGTTGATTGGAATAAAACTATTAATATGCGCGGCTGCATGTAGTTATAAAAGACAATATAGGTAAAGAGAAGTTTTCAAAAACATTTAGTCGATGGACACAATATGTACAATATTTTATAAGGATAGACGAGTACCTACCAATACTGTAGGTACAACAAATGTCAATACTGTGCGCCTTAACGCGATAATAATTGCTTAGTGCTGTTTATGTCGTGGCTTGAAACAGACCCCCAGAAAATGCCATTCATTGCAGCGTCGCCTGTTTCCACCAAGTGTCCGTAAGTGTGAAGTTTGGTTCCATGCACAAATTTAACTTTGTTACCGTTTTCATGTTGGTGTGCAATCCGTACTTTACATCATGCGCCTATGACGTGGACGGTAAAGGAATGCAAGTAACATTGCGTCACGTGGTGGAAAATGTGTTTAAAAAAGACAAAAACTTGCGGCAGACTGTTAAGGATTACAAAAATTATTGCAAGAATGTCCTGACTGACACTCACGTTTTTATAGCTACTGACGCCCCTCTCTTACTATTACCGAAGGAGACATTCAAACAAGATTTTGTTGTGTTCATCGAAAGCTATTTAGGGCTACAACGACTCTTGAGTAACATTAAGGAGAGGATATGGACTGAATTTTTTGTCGGAAAAACGCATCTACTTATGGTTTCTGGTGAAGGTACCAATGTGGTTAACATTTTACGACTGATGCGGTTTTTCGCAATTGATAAAGTTCAAATTTTTACGTATAAAAGCAAAGATAAAATGCTTCGTGCAACTAAGTTTGTTCATATCACAATTTAACCCAGAGGGAGTCGCTGAATTTGGGTTGTTTGTATAGTTGTGCACTTATTGGTATAATTACACGAAACTGTTTTAGGATTACACATTTTCCTGCTATGAACATTCTTATATCTCGACCTCAATTACATGAATTATTGATTTGGGATACGTGTTGTTATTCTATTGCTTGTAAGTTCATTGTCTTTCCTACCTATTGAATTTCACAGGAGGTTTACTTACAGTAAGTATTTATGGAGCTATGATAAGCTTTCGCCAACAAGCATCCCTCCATAAGATGCTTGTTGTACAATTGAAATGGACAAGAAATGTTAGGTACGTTTCTGAGCTGCTGAGATGCTGAAACAGATCATCAAATATTGCTTCAATCATGAAACTCGGTATCTAATATTCTTTCAAAAACGAATGGTCCTAGCCAAAAATGCAAACATTAAGATAATTGTGTCTAATGATACAGTTTTTCACAAAATTAATTAGTTCGCCACGACTGAAGTGACCGAACCTGTCACTGCCTTACTCAATTATCACACTTTATTGCAATTTCCAGCCAGAAATAATTTTCACGTACCTATCGCGCTATTTTTACATCAAGACGCGTAATTAACTAGGTCAATAAACCCCGGCGACCATTAATATTATTTGGAACCGTCCCCTTTAGAAAATTGCAACATGTTCGAATTAACGATCAAAAAACGCCGACACAACGTAATCAAATCAGTCAATTGGGACTGCCAAGTTATATATTAAAAAAAGAAAAATGGAAGCGAAACCGATGCGAGGAAAACGAATTCTGCTCAAATATACGGTTCTCGTACACATGCCAAATATTCCAATTTTGATGTGAAACTAAAGACGTTTTGTGTTTGTAGGTAGTTCGGAAAATAGAGATTCGCCCACCTCGAATCCGGCCCACAATCCGGCGTTCGCGGTGGATTCGACCGACTTGCCCAATGACGAAATCCTGCAATCTTGTACGTTCGTCGGCTACCAGAAGAGCGGAAGGATCACGCCGCCGGCTACCACGATACCGCGATTTAGAAAGTACAATATTGAAGATTTTCAGTTCTTGAAGGTGCTGGGAAAGGGCAGCTTTGGAAAGGTGAGCTTGGAACAGTTTGGAACGGTTCATCCTCAGCCTCTTCCTTAGGTGTTGCTGGCCGAACTGAAGAATACCGAGTATTATTATGCAGTTAAGTGCTTGAAGAAGGATGTTGTATTGGAGGACGATGATGTAGAGTGTACGCTTATCGAAAGAAAAGTATTAGCGTTAGGAACTAAGCACCCCTATTTATGTCATTTACTTTGTACGTTCCAAACAGAGGTAAGACGACTAAGGCAAAGAATCGTAGTTGAAACATGTGTTGCAGTCACATCTGTTCTTCGTAATGGAGTACCTGAATGGTGGCGATCTCATGTTTCACATTCAACAATCGGGAAGATTTCAAGAACCCCGTGCGCGTTTTTACGCGGCAGAAATCGCTTCCGGTTTAAAGTTTTTACACAGCAAAGGAATCGTGTATAGGTAAGTAAACAGTGTTACATCGTTTACAAGTCATACGAGTTCGTTGTTCCAGATTTGCGTTTAAATTATCTTTGTTTTTAGACGTCTCCACCATTCATAATTTACAGATGTTTTCCCTTAGTAGATGTGTAGGTTGCATTGCGTAGATTAAGATATTCATTTCCACACCAGAATGAATTTATGAATATTCAAATGGAATTTTCTTTGGCAAGGTTTCCATTATGTTTACATTTCCCTTTCTAAACAATTTTTAGATACTTTTTCGATCATCGCTATGGATTTAATTCTCTATTCAGGTACTTTTCATTTCCCAATAAATTTCAAAAGTTCTTTATCGAACACAAGATCAGTAGATATTGTTTCATGTAGGTAATACATTTATAATTGTGACATTACCAGTCACGACCCATTCCAGAAACATATCAGGAATCATGCTTTAAAAGCAATAATTTGCTCATTCAGCGGTTTTGGATACAATTTGACTCGGAAATTAAAGTTTTCTTCCGTGCATAAAGAACCGCATGGCATACTTGATGAATTGATCTAAAGTTTAAATTACACGTATCAATTTTTTTCTCAATTTTAAGTAGGTACTATATGATGAAAAAAGAGTTGCTGTCGATGGAATTTTTGTTGACATGGGAAATCGTTCTTTGCAAAACGATACAAAAGTAAACATTAAAAAAAATAAACCAAAATGGGCGCAAAATGCCGGTGAAATTCTTTGGAATTTTTGTTACTAAATGATTAGTTTAGAGACCACCTCTGTAACAGAGCTGGGCAGAATACTTTCAAAAAGTATTTGAATACTAAATAGTAAATACTTAACACAAATCAAAGGTATTTGAATACTAAATACTTTTACGTCCAGCACAAGCGAATACTAGATACAGATACATTGAAAAGTATTCAAATACTTAAAAAATAAGTATTCAAATACTTTAGAATGTATTCGAATACTTTCAAAAGTATTCGAATACTTTCAAAGGTATTCGAATACTTTCAAAAGTATTCTAATACTTGTCACTCAAATACATTAAAAATTTAAAATAGTATACTAGATAAAAGGCTTAATACTAGGTACTTAAAAAATTCAAGTTACTTTGTATGGGGTTAGCTTTTTTTATATTTCTATTGTTATATACAAATTTAAGGGGAGTAAAAGCGTATTATTATTATTATTATTATTATAGTATTATATAGGAGGTACCTACCAGGACCTTTCTTATTTCTATAAGAATACGCTTACCAGTTTTCAAAGCGATCGTACGTCGTGCACATGATACGTACGCCTTTCTGAAATTAATCCTAGCGATTTTGGAACAGATCCATTTTTGACCATCCGTTTGTCCGTGTGCATGATAACTTGTTTAGAAACGTGCGATCGCTTTGAAAATTGGTACACATGGTCTTAAGGATATAAGAAAGGTCCCTATTGTTTTTAAGTTACGTAGACTATCGAGTTCGGTATTCAGATGTATCGGATTTTTATATTTGATTTTGTGACAATGGAAACTTTCCCTAAATATTTCTAAATTGTTCTCAAATATTTGAATAACTTAAAAGTACTGCCTTTTTTTGAGACCGGAAAAAAATTGTCTGAGATCGAGATCGATCGAGAGTCCATAATTTCAAACAGTTTGAAGATTGGGCTACTAGATCAAAAGTTACAGCCCTTTGAATTTTTTTCGAAATTGGTTTCTGGTCTATAACTTTCGATTGAGAAGTCTGATCGAAAAAGTACGAATTGTTTTGGATTCTACGCACCAAAATTAATAAGAAAAAGTGTTTTCCCGAGAAATTTTGGTGTAGTCGATTTTTGGTAAAAAAGGAAGGTTATACACTGCCTTTTTTGAGGCCCGCAAAAAAAATTGTCTCAGATCGACCGGAAAAAAAAATTTCTTATAGAATGTGGCCTGTAGAATCCATAATTTCAAACAGTTCCAAGATTGGGCTACTAGTTCAAAAGTTACAGCCCTTTGAATTTTCTTTCGAAATTGGTTTCTAATAGTCTATTACTTTTGATTGAGAAGTCTGATCGAAAAAGAACGAATTGTTTTGGATTCTACGTACCAAAATTAATAAGAAAAAGTGTTTCCCGAGAAATTTTGGAGTAGTCGATTTTTGGTAAAAAAAAGGAAGGTTTAAGTATTCAAATACTATGCGAAGTATTCGAATACTAAATATTTGTGAAAGTATTTGAGTTACAAAAACAAATACTGCTTCCATAAAAGTATTTAATTACAAAGTATTTGAATACTTTAAAGGATTTGAATACTAAAAAGTATTTACAAAATCGAATACTGCCCAGCTCTGCTCCGTAATATATGCTTACAAAATCAATATGAAAAAGCAAATTTTTTCAAAAATCTTAGTGAAAAATGTACTTCAAGGTTAAGTGGGTGCAAAAGTTTGGCGAAGATTTGAGGCCCTTTTTTTGGGTTTCAAACATTGACATTGACTCAAAATTGCATTATGATGTAACTCGTGTTTTAAATGATTGGAAATTGGAGACAGTTTGGCACGAATAATGAACTGTGTCAAATCGAACACGATTATGTGCAAATCCGAAGACAAGTTGAATCGAAATTTTCGGAAAAAGTTACTTTGTATAGGTAATAGACCCAAAAAAATTCCTTTTAAAAATTCAAAAAAATGACATCAAAAGCGAAAAAGTGCACTTTTTATTTTTTGAAAGTGAAAGTGCACTAAAAATCTACGCTATATAATGCAAGAAGACATTTATTATATCCGATCACAATAAGGGATCTATATACGGGGTGTCAATTTTAAAACTTGCCATATTTTTCAAACTAAAGAAGATATTGAAAATCGCGCAAAACCATTTCAGGGATATCGAGGGGGAACCAGAATGACGTTATAAGTGACAACCCCCCACCACCCTTAACCTCCCTCTTCAAAAATCCTAAATGGCAACCCCATACTTGTGACACATCTTTGGAAAGCTACTGAAAATTTCCAGTGGTACCAATATTCATTAAGACAATTTAACAAAAATTTAATAATTAACAAAAAGAAATAAAAATTAAGCCATGTCTATGTTCAAGATTTGGTCGCTAAATTCGAAGAAACGGGATCTGTTATCAATAAAAAAAAATTGCTTAAGGAAGCAGCCCAGGTTGAAGTTCTTGGCCAATTTGCCATAAATCCCTCAATGCCAACATTTAGTTTTTTTGTTAATTATTAAATTTTTGTTAAATTGTCTTAATGAATATTGACTTTATTAGTACCACTGGAAAGCATTTTTCAGTAGCTTTCCAAGGATGTCACAAGTATGGGGTTGCCATTTAGGATGTCTGAAAAGGGGGGCTGGGGGGTTAAGGAGGGTGGAAGGTTGTCACTCATAACGTCATTCTGGTTCCCCTTCGATACCCCCGAAACGGTTTTGCGCGATTTTCAATATCTTCTTTAGTTTGCCGACTGCAAGTTTTAAAATTGACACCCCGTATAAGAGAACTTTACCTGTAGCATGAAAGACAGGAATTAAGTTTAGGTCAGATTTCGCGTGGTCTCAAAAACGCCAGAGCTCCCAGCGATCGAGGGGGGTTAGGCTAGGCCAAGAACTTAGGTAAAATAAGCTTCTTAATTCGTGACAACAACTGCTATTTTAAATGCCAAAATAGTCAATGACATATTGTTGGAAAGGTGCCAATTTTCCGAATTTGTTTAGATTTGATCGTTCTCTCATTGCATACGCCGCTAGAAGGATACTCAGTCATCAGTCGCATCATGCTAACAATATGTAGAATGTTTAGAAATTTTAAAAGACACAATACTGGAAGGTAATACAAGGTTTAGTTATGCAGAATTTTATGCCGATTAATTTTCCGTTTTAAAGTTGTTTTGTAACTCCACAAATAGCGAAGTTATGACCAAAAAACCGAAAAACGTCACTTTCGAAAATGTGCTGGCTCTCTTTTATTTATATATCAAAAAATAATTTTAACAAACCCTTAACGAATTTTTCTTATAGCTTTCTGACGGTGTAAAGTAAAATTTTTATGACTTGTGGGTTTCGTGAAAATCACATCAACTTTCTTATTGCTTATTAACGCCATATTGTTTTTTTACGTCATTCGGTAGAGAAAAAGAGTATAGAACGAATGAATTTGATTTCAATCACAATCAGCCATGCCATAACAAATAATTTAGGCCAAAATTCAAGGTTGATTCCTAAACGAATCAAGTGCTTAGTATCACTAATTTTGTAATTTTTTTCTCTATCAAGTGACGTAAAAATCCAATATGGCGCCCATAAGAAAGAAGAAAGTTACTGTGATTTACTCGAAATCCACGTCATAACAATTTTATTTTAGCACATCAGAAAACTGAGAAAAAATTAAAATTAACTATTAAAATTAGTCAGCATAAAATTCTGTATAACTTTGCCCAATTAAGCGATTTTGCATCTCCTACGGTTTACGAGATCCCCATACCCCAATATTACATAATGATCGTCCAAACATCAACATTTAGAAAAATGCGCAAAAAATTACCGCCCACAGAGAGAAGGAAGGGTATTCTAAAATGTGTCATTTTTCCTATAACGTAATTTAAAGTTTTAGGCGCTAGCACGATATTAGAGAGGAATTTTTCCGAAAACGGCGTCTAAAATTTAATTTTAATTATTTATGTGAAATTTGTTTTGTTTCGCTGTTGTATTTCTTTAATATGCTTAAATCATTGGAGGAACTTTGCACCCCTCCCTCTTATTGTTATATCTGATAAGCAAAAGTTGTGAAGTGGATTATTCATTTCAAGTATTAATTTGATGGCGGTTTAAAATGTTCAACAATAAAACAAAAATGACTCATCATAAAGCCAACGTTTTGAAGTTTTGATGATGACAAATTGAGAACGCAGTTGAATGTTTTTAATTTATTGGATAAGGGCGCAGTCAATTGTTTCAACTAATCAACAAGCGATCATGATGGGTATCTAGAGTGCCATGTCGAAATAAACCTGGCAATGTTTTTCATAAGATCTTATGCAAAGTATTGCATTGCTGAAATGAAATTCATGGCGCGCAAAATAATCCTGTACAACTCTTGGGACCCTGTATATCAAAATTCTAAGATTTGTAATTTGAGTCACCGCGAATTGAAAGGTTAATTATTCGTCCCGTTAATTAGACCAAATCAAATAGTTGTCGGTTTACAAGTAAACAAGCAAAGTAGTACTAAGTTTAATGAAAAAACTCACCCTTGGTGTTTTTTTAGTACGCATACCAAAATCTATGATCAAAACGCACCACCCGATTTGAACGCGAAACACAAACTACCTTTAAGAAACAGGTAAAATGTAATCTTTTGCGAGTGACGACACCGTTTCTCCGATAACACTGATGACCCCGGCCAATGGAAACTTGTTTTATTCGATTTTGTATTACATTTTTGGAAACCTACGTTCGCGATAACATATTTCAAGCAAAGTGAATCATTTTAATCTACTAAATGAAGCACTCGTCAAGTTGTTAAAATTACAACATTTTTGAAAATATCCCAATCCTTACCATAATACTGAATCAGCTAAAAAATATTTTATTTTATTTCTACATTTTTAAGTTCTCCTATTCCTGAACCCAAATTTGAACCAGCAATTCACTGATGTACGAAATTTAGTTGATTTTTGATATTTGTATTTTGTAAGTTTCTAGATTATGCCATTAGAAAGATGTTCGGCGAAAGTATTTGATCCCAACAGCAAATATGACGTTCAAAAAATTGAGAGTAAAATATCAAAAGATCTCAGTATAGTCAGTACAACACTATACAGGGTCAGGGACAATATTAGCATTGTAGGAAAGTAGAAAAGATACGTTTAAAAAATGTACACACAAAGGTTCTCGACCACAAACTACTCTTTTTTTTAAAATAATGACAGTTTTCTAATACTTCCAACCGGAAGTAGGTATCCAGTTCCTTATATTAATTGGAAACCCTCAGCATTCCCTCAGTTTTTATTTCACATTTAGATTCTTGTTTGAAAATTAATGTCAGTTTACCAGACAATATCTATGACCATCTCTGTTTTAGAGATATTTATTTGTATTTGAAGAAAAAAATTGACAGTTAAAGCGGGGGCTTTGAAGCTTTGTATATCTTAGTGACTATTAGACGTAAAACAATAACATTTTGGGTAAATAAAAATGCTGGTTATTCGAATGATTTTTCACGGATATTCACAATGTTTTTAGTTTTTTTTAAAAGATCAACTGGTTTTTTTCAATTGGAATGTCCCTTTTTTTAATTTCAGGTAGTAATTCTAGAGAAAATTTCGATTCGATTGATATGACATTGTCCTATCCCTAAAATTGGTGGTTTTCAAGTTATTTACATTGTTCTTCATAAAGTAATTTTTAAAACAAATCATGGTCTGTAACTACAAATCACTGGCAGATAGAATTTTTACGTTTGTGTGGACTTAAGTGTCCCTGGTGGTATGGTGAGTAAAAAAACAGAATCATAAATTGGAAGATCATTTGATATTAGAAAGGTTAATAATATGATGAGCATCAACAGTGAAGTTTAGCAGCTCAACTTGAGCATTAAGACGAAAAGTGCGCATAAAAATTCGTTTCCATCATAATAAGGCTCGACCATACGTTGACAATTATACACATAGGTAATCATCAGTCATCTACCTACTGATCAGTGTCAAAAAGTGGATGCTTTCTAAAAGCAGCGATTCCTTTGCTTAAGGAATCGATCGAGGGTGATTTAAAACATGCCTCTTGTTCTTTTTACTTCATAAAAAATTGGTTCGAAAATTGCGAATAATTATGAGTCGTAGGTACCTCTACACTTGTAAAGAAATCTGTCAGACCTATAATTACGCATCTAGACGTTACTTTCGTATGCAAAAAATCCTAATTAGGTACAATTCAATAAATGCATTGAACTGAAACCGCCAATCTTTATTAATTATTAGCAAAGCTAGAAATCAATGACATAAAGCTTGTGAAAATCGTACAAACTCTTATAATTAGGTTTTCATCGCAGTTTCGTTTGGGGAAAACATTTCTTTATGTTTAAGCTATAATTCCTCAGAACTGAGAAATTCATGTTGTTTTGCATGTAAAAGCGCTTTGAAAATTAAAATAGTGGGAGTGTTTTACCCTTTTTCACCCAAGTCAAGTGCGCGCATTTCAAATTTACCCCACAATCGCAGAATAGTAAATTCGGTCGCTTTTTAAGAGTCCTCAAATACGAATTTGTTACAGAGACCTAAAGCTCGACAACATTCTACTCGATTTTGACGGGCATGTTCGAATAGCCGATTTTGGAATGTGCAAATTGCAAATATTCTTGGACAGGATGGCAGACACTTTCTGTGGCACACCGGATTACATGGCCCCCGAAGTAAGTTTTCTATATTCTTTAATCGATAATAATTAATTATTCGTAGATTATTAAAGGGCAGCATTACAATCAGTGCGTGGACTGGTGGTCGTACGGCGTACTTTTATACGAGATGCTAATTGGACAGTCGCCCTTCAGCGGATGTGATGAGGATGAACTATTTTGGTCGATTTGCAACGAGAAACCGCTAATTCCTAGATACTTGAGTACTGAAGCAAATTCTATAATTTTATTGGTAAGTATAATTTGGAAAGTTCAGGAATAGCGTTTAACTTATCTGTTTATCTGTCTATATGCCGGACACTTCATCCGAATTGGATTTAAATTTACTTCTCAGCTTCGGCATAGTTGGGTGGCCATAATTAATAAATCGCAAGTCTAACGGCATTTAATGAGCCATTTTGGAAACGTGCGTTTATAAGGGTAAAAATGTCTGCTGAACCCGAATTCGGATGTTGCCAAGCTGATTTTTGGCTGATTTCAAAATGGCGGCCAATATGGCGGCCAAATATATAAATTTTTATGCCAGACGCATTTTACATAGTTTTTCGGATTGAGGTGTTAAAAAAACATACCTACAGGAGGCACAGAAAATTGCAAAACTTATATATTGGGTACATTGTACAGACAACACGGTAACAATATAGAGATAATTCTGACGGTAAATGTATTACCTATATTTCGTTCAAAAATTTTAACGGAACTTAAATTTCTTCATGATTCTGCTCATTTTTTTTACGATTGAAGCAGTCGCCAAGACACTTGTAGATATTTGTGCACTTTTAGTTCATAGCATATTTTATTTAAAGCCAAGTTTTTAGGAGGACTAGTCTGATCATTCGATTCTTCAGTGTCCCTTATCGCATTTGCGAAACAATATGTATGGTACAAAATGTCCCCGGCTACAGCATCATGAGAAGATGCAACTCTACGCCCTTCGGTACCTACTGCACCCACTGGAAATGTAAATTTCCATAAGAGCGCCCGCCTAAAAAACTCAAGTTGTTTTTGAAAAATAAAATTTTATATTAATAATATATAAATGTTATATTTTATAAATTTAGACCTTTATCTACAAAATGTTCGGAATATTTTTTTAAAAAAGTTTATAGCAACTGAATACCGGCTGTTTAAAGATTAGATATTTTGCACCGATTATTGCGCTAACCTGTTTTATTGTTTTGCTCTCAATCAAGACGATTTATGGAAAAAGTAAACCGACAGTTTTCTAAATAAGTTACTTCTGAACATTACTCCCAAAAATGTAATCATATTTTTTGTATATAAAGTCTGTATCTTGGCGGGCGGTAAATAAACAATTCGAGTGTAGCAAGTGGCGCCGCTGCACTGTGTCGGTGGGAACCGAGGGGTAAACCACCTAGTTAATTCGGTGTACAAATAGTACTTAATGAATCAAAATTAACTTTTAATGTAGTTAATATATTCTGTAAATGCAGTTAATTTCAAGTTAATTCAGTTAATGTAATTTAATGTGGTTAATGCTATCTTAATGTAATTAATTTACATTTAATGCCATTTAATACCACAGACAACATATACTAGTCTGTGTTAATACTACTTGAAATACTACTATAGGTAGTGGCTACAGCATGTGAAAAACCAAATTTTGAACCTGGTGTTAGATTTGCTTTTATTCCAAGTGCCTATGTATCAAGTTTTATTTAAATACTTTCATAAATAAAAAAGTTTGCAATTCAAAAAGGGCACTGTGAATGTAAAATTGATTAGGTCCAACTTTTGGCGTTGCGTATTATATGGCTAAAACTATGCCCTCGACTATGCCCATATTGAATTTCATGCAATTCGGTTTATAACTAACGGAGATGTCAAAAGGGCCATCTTTATTTTTTTACGTACATTGCCAATTCACGAACTCCGATCTATAACTCTAATAAAGAATCCAAATGCAAAATTTCATCATAATCGGCGGTCTATTCGTTTTCGAGGAATCGTGCTAATGAACAGATCTCGGGACAGATGGATAGGCACCGCAAAATTATAAACTCTCTAGGTCCTAGGAGATCGTCAATAATTTGAAAACGTTGGGTATTTAAAATATTTTTGCTATATGGTTTTATAAAGAATTTAATAACCTGTCATATTATGTAATAATACACAGGGTGTTCCATATCAAAGTCACATTTTTGTTATCATCTGAAAAATGCGATATGGTTTTGTTTTTTTAATTGCAGATTTGAATTCATTGGAAAAAATACGCAATTTTTATTTATATATATAGTTGGAAAAAACTTAAATATTTACCAACGGTTATTAAAAAGCACTAAATTTAATAACAAACAAAATTTGCCGAGGAAAATGTAAAACCCTAATTTAAATTAATTCACAGCTTTTTTGGGACACTCTGTATATCACCACAGGATATATTTTCCTACATTTTCCGAACTAGCTATGAAGTTAATTAACCAACTCTTACGTATATATAAGTAATAAATTATGGAAAACAATTTAGTACTAAATAGTACACAATACAATAGATAGTGGCGCCATCGTGCTGTATTTGTGAACTAGTGCAAAATTCGGCCTGGCAACATCCAGAATCGGATTCAGCACATTTTTTTACATCTAAAAAACCATGTGGCCAAAATGGCTCATAAAATGCCGTTAGAACTAAGAAACAGAGTCGTTTTTCGATTTGGCCACTTAACTAGCACCTTTATTCTGATCAGTCAAATCATGCTTTCATTTCTGTCTATAATTCAAAAAAGTATTTCTACTTCTTCTTGTCTAAATGATATCAGAAATCAAAAAGTTGAGTACTTTCATTGTGATTAAAAAGACAGAATAGCAATTTTCCATGCGTTTTGGGACGCTACATTATAGTTTGAATTTGTCACAAAAAATGGCAGTTATGGATCCTACCCAAACAAAATTATGATATTGCCCGCCGGACAGACAGACAAACAAAGCGCCTATAATAGTGGCTTACATATAGGATATAGGATGCGTTAAAATACTTTCGAATATCAAGTGTCAATTGTCAACAGTATCGCGGAACCATTGTTTTTAACATTGGAAATGTTTATGATTTCATAATATGGGTACAAAGTTACAAGTTTCGTTCAGTAGGAAAAGATAACTGTGATTGTATCGTACCCAGCCGTGATCGGTTGTTAAGGAAAAGTCGCGGATACGAGACTTAATAAATCTCTGCAAACGCCCTTCCTTCACGTTCCCTTCACTAGTCGAACGAATGAGGTATTTGAAAACATCAAACACTCCACCCTTCAATCACTCGGGAATGAATCCGAGATGCATTTGTTTAGTCGCCTCTTACGACACGCAGTGCCCTCTGCGGTAGGGTTATTCTTTCCCGCCCCTACACGGGTAACGGGGGTAGGGAGATAGGGAAAGCTTGAGTGGTAAATGTAGGTAGATACCTAACCTACTGTCTGTAGTTGACGATAGTAACTATAAGTATTAGGATTGCGATTTGCCATTAACGAAGTTTCAACTACTTAGTTTATTGAAACCAATGTGTAACATTTACATGTGACAGTTTAGTATGTACTAATAAACCACCTATTTTTCTTGCAGCTGTTAGAAAAAGATGCGAACAAGAGACTAGGTAACAAAATGTGTCCATCCGGCGACATCCAAGACCAACCATTCTTCAAACCAATCAGTTGGGAACGACTTGAAGCGCGATTGCTCGATCCGCCCTTCAAACCGAAACTGGTAAGTGTATCCCATCGCTCAACTCGAACACGTCCCCTCATCCTTCTGTTCCAGCTTCATCCACTCGACACGCAGTACTTCGACAAAAACTTCACCGTCGAAAAGGCCAAACTAACGCCGATCGATAAGAACATCCTGCAGTCCATGGATCAAAGCCAATTTCAAGGTTTCAGCTACACTAATCCTAACGCTACCGATAAGTAAAATGAGGAATCTCTGACAGCGGTGCCAAGTATTTTCCTGAAGTTGGTATACTTACCGATGATAGGTTGAAACCCTGTTTCGTGGAATCTCAAGATGTGCGTGGTTTGCGAAAAATCTAATAATTACCCGTGCAATTTCTATTTAAACAAACGACGCTAGACTTCCTAATAATATTAATTTTGCCTAGTTTTATATTACTTATACTGAATGAAGTACTGTCCAAGTACAATGAACTGATTATGCCGTACCTACAAGAAGTGAGAGGGATCTATGTTCTTTAGACAGCTTGATAGTTAATTAGCTCCTTCTGTTTCTAGATTGTAAATAGCGAAGAAGTATGAATTACACACACAATTTAACAACTTGTACTTAAACTTTTGTCAATAAATTCATTTAGAAGTTTACGGTAGAAATTCAATGCCGAAAGGCGCCTGGATACCTTTTCCCGGTTTCTTAATGCTTTCCCTCTTGATAGGCTGAACCTTCTGGAAAAGATTTAATTTCTTTGCCAATATTAAGATTATCCTACCTGCTTTGTGTACAGCTTCAAATTATTGCCATAGTGGTTTCCGGCCACAATGCCGATTCCGCTACTAGGCGATGGCGGTTTTACAAAGTAAGGGATTAAGCTTAAATCATAATTAGGCTTGGGTTTAACTATCTCTTGTCTCTGAAGTCTTTCTAATTCTCTCGGCTCACGGTAAATCATGCAGCAAGCTCGCATGGTGAAGTAGTAAATAAGTTCAACGCCGGATAATAAACTGAAGCCCAAGAAGAGCCCCGCGATGCCGCCGAAAGACACTGAAACGTTTATTAATTATATTATAATTAAATCACACTCGACTAGGTAAAACAGCTTGTGCGAACTTTCTACTATTAATAACAATTATTTATGTTTTTGTACGGCACGTGCGTAAAATTGCGTTTCTAGTTAACACAGAATGTGGTTTAATAAAGAAGAAAATTTGTGCTCGCATAAGGCGCCGAAAACATCAACTTTCTTTGGATCCATAAATACTATTCTTTAACGGAAATAACAAACGTTTCCTAAACTGTTTCTCGTGACTCTTTGTGATTTAAACTAATTACTTCTGCCATTTCACATCCGAGTGTAACCTGAATATACCTAGAAAGACTTGTAACGCGAGGCTAATAAGTCAAATACAGCTTTCATTAATTTAATGAAACGTGGAACAAGGAATGAGCTAATAAGTGATAATTTGGTTAATTATCGGTCTCTTGGTGAAAATCCCTTTTCTGCGAATTTCTGGCTGCGATTTTTCTTACGCAACATGTTTTAGGATTGTATGCATATAAACCAATATGCGGTGAAGCATCAATCTACTTCACAGTATACTAAACCCCACTGTATAGGTAAGTATTAGCGGCTCAACAAGTTTGAAAATGTGGAAAATACATTTTTTCTATTTCGGTGTCACAATGATGATTTTGTACAACTGTTTTCGGCCGAAAACAGTTGTACAAAGACAGTGATTATAGTCTTTTTTTTTTGGTAACTCATCTCTTAAGTTGGCAGTTACTAGTTAGTACAAGTAGGTACTTCGTTGGGTACTTCCATGTTTGAACTTCAAAATGTCAGTCTTACTACGCTGCCAACCTAAAACTTAACGGCATAAAAAGTGTTCCCAACATAAAACATGTTAGTTCTAATGTTCCCTATAGTTTCTGATAATGATTTTTTTAATTAAATTAAAGCACCGAAATAGAAAAAATAGTATGAAAAACGCGTGTTACAATGCTTTATTGTAATACTCCTATCTTGCGGACACTCGTGGGCTACGCTTCGCGTCGCCACTCGTGCCACAAGATAGTCGTATTACAGTAGGTCGCATTGTAACACTTGTCTTTCAATATACTAT